GTGTTGGGGCGACAGTGTATTACGATATGGAATCCGATGGTCTGTTGGAGTGCAACGCGTGGATGGGCAATGTGTTTGTCAACCCGCCTTTTGGGGTGCAGGGTGGTGCAAGCTATCAGAGCCTGTTTTTCCAGAGATGCGCAACAGAGTACACGGCTGGTCACATTCACCAAGCAGTACTGCTGCTGAAAGCCGCTGTGGGTTATGCGTGGTTTGATGCCATACTACAATGGCCTGTCTGTTTTCTGCGCCAACGTTTGGCGGGTAGCCAATCCACACGGAAGTGTCGTGGTTTACATGGGCCCAGACGTGCAACGTTTTGTGTCAGTGTTTGGTTGTATGGGCGGAGTACCGGGGGCGACTTCATGGGCCATGCCCCGCCCAACGGAGAGCTCGATGGATTAAGGCATAGATTGCATATGGCGAACATATTCTTCTCGGCAGACATCTGCATTTTCATTTGTTTTCAATGTAGCTCGTGGTACTGAGTTTAGCGGTTTATCAGAGATTTGTCATTGTTTCCACCCGAACCTATTCATGCATACGAGTGTTGTGGGATAAACTGGACGGACTGTCGATAAAGTGTGGTGGGAAAACAGTGGGACCTCGGCAGCTGACTTGACTGGGTAATGCAGTCGTGGCCCTGAGTGCTTGCCTCCGGTAGTAGTAGTAGTGCCAGAGTACGGTAACCAGGTGTGCAAGGTTTTCCACTCCATGTCGTGGGATCGAATCTAATACACACATGAGGCACTTGTAAGCGGTCCTCTTGCAAAGTTTTTCTGTAAATTCCTTAAAAGTCATGTGCTTTTGGATGCCAGCCCCGGCCAATCCTGCCAACTTGACAGCCAATTCGACACCCTGTCAGGCTAATTCGATACCCTGTCAGGCCAATTTGACACCCCGAACAGGTCAATTCGATACCCTGTCAGGCTAATTCAATACCCTGTTAGGCCAATTCGGCACCCGGACAGGCCAATTCGACACCCGGACAGGCCAATTCAGGCGCAGCACAGCCCAATTCCGAGGCTCCACAGCGCAATTCGAATACCTCCGGCGGGTCCGCCAGAACAATTCCAGACCTCGGCAGACCAATTCTTTCGTCAGGAATAAAATCCAGGCTAATTCTGCGACAGAGCTCTTCCCTAATTCCAGCCCGAATCCTACCCTCCTGTATGGGCCTCCTCCCCCCCTTGGCACCATCGCCAGGTCCTTGTCGCAATTCCACGGAATCAACGAACAATACGGCACACGGCCGAACCGATTCCCTAACAAACCACCTACCGACCCCCCCGCTATCCAACACACACACACACAGACACACGTCCAAGCACCCACTTACGTTAGGGATTCTCATGCACGTCCAGGTCCAATGCGCGCGCCATGCACATCCTTAGGCAGGTGCGCCGCATTCAGCGCCTCATGGAAGCGTTACGGGACAACGGACACATGCAAGCATACTGAGCAAGGGAAGACAAGGTTAAAACATCTTGTACGGCACTTTGTCAAACAGGCCCGGAAGCCAGGAACGCAAATACACACAAATAGACGCGGAGTACCGGAGACATGTTTGGCAACACATGCAGGGCCTCTCTGGCGAGTGCTGTTGTGAAGGTGCCGTACCATGCCGTACATCGTAAACTGTAAAATGCAATGGCTTAATGTATCTATATGCCTTTTCCCGTGCAATTATAAGAAATGTTCCATTACGATTTAGTTGGCAAGTATCTTGTCGACTTTCCTAGGGTGTTTTGCTGCGCTTTGCTGATGCTGGTGATAGGTTATGCTGCGTCTGCTGTCGCCGCCAACTAAATCGTAATGGCATATTGCTTATAATTGCGCGGGAAAGGGCATATAGATAAACTGGTCCCACATGTGAGGTGCGGAAATATCTCTAGAAGCAAAGCTCTTCGAACCTTCCGCCGCCTTTCCTTCGGCGCACCCAAAGGGCTCAGGACGACCCTCCGCGCTTCAGAGACAGCTACTGCCCCCCCCCCGGGATTCAGACCTCTCATCGCCAGCCCGCCCACCTCAGGGATAGCACATGCTGCACGCTGTGCATGCCCGTGTAGCAGAGACTTGCGATTACGTACCCTTTCATTACAGGATGCCTGTCCAAACGACTGCGAATTATAGCACTAGTGGCACTAGCAGCACGGCCACTACGATTGGGGGCCGGGCTTGGAATCCGGGCACATGCTCACGTACTGGCTTCTTGCGAATGTGCATTGTGCAAACAACGAATGGGCCACGTACCGTCAAGATGTATAAACTTTCGCTCACAGTACGCCACTCACAAATCACCTCAACCCAAAGCAGAGCCGATCAATCTGCCCCGGAACGCCGCCGGTCGATGTCACCTGGGATACCCCTTTTGGACTCCGTCACGTAGCAAGGCCCTAACGTCCATGATGGCGGTAATGACAAGTCCCGTCTCGACGCAGCGCCACAAGGACACCAAATTAGGAGGAGAGCAGGACGCTATTCCCGTCTTTTGGGGCGCACCCAAACACATCCGGACACAGCTCCGTTGTTGCTTCCAAAATCCACTCCCCACTCGCCCACCGACCCCCTTCCTCTCCTACAAGCTGCATCTCGCCCCGCTCCCCTTGGCAACACTGTTCTATGCCTTGCCCCGCCTGGCCCGCTTCGGCTGCCCCGAGGGTGCGGCTGCTGCAGCACGCTTCGGCAGGGCAGCGGGCGCAGCCGCCGCTGCCGTCTTGGCGGCGCCCTTCACCTGCGACGATATCACCTGCGGCGTTATCTCCTCGTCATCACCGCTGCCGCTATCGCCGTCGCGGCTGTCGTCGCTGCTGCCGCTGTCCTCCGTCTCCGAAGCGGAACCATCGTCCTCCCGGCTACTGCTGCTGCCGCTGTTGCCACTGGCATAGTCACTGCTGCTGCGGCCACCAGCTTCCGGCTCTTCGCCAATCGGCCCCTGAGACCCACCTGGGCCCTCCCCCTCCCTGTCGCCATCCTCATCCCTGCCCCCGTTTTCCTCTCCCCGAGCAAAACCACCGCCTGCGCCCCCCGACGTTCCACTCCCGTCGCTCTCTCGGCCGCTGCTGCCTGCACCCCCGCTACCGGGTGTCGACTCAGATTCCGAGCCCTCTTCCTCCTCCGCGTCCTCGTCCTTCTGGGTCATAGCCGCAGCAGGAGTAGAGAACTGGCCCGCACCCGCTCCTTCACTACCGCTCCCACTAACACCAGCCTTCACAATTTCCTCGTCCTCCCCCACTTCAGCCATGTCCTCGTCCTCCTCCTCCTCGTCCTGATCACTGCTGCTATCCGCGGAAGCACTGTCCACGTCCATAGCGGTGGTGACGGGACCCCGGCTGCCGAGGAGCCGCGCTGCACCAGCCCCCGCCGCTGCTGTGCCCTTCGTCGAAGTCGCCGCCGACGGTCCGCCCGGAGCGCCCAAACCTGCAACAATATGAAACACCGGAGGGGGTGGAGGAGGCGCCCAGGTACTCCGAAACTAAGCGAAGACAGACAACAAGGGGAAGGAGAGAGAGAGTGAGAGTGACGACCCCAGTCTTGTGTTGGCATAACAACAAAATGGCCATACATTACACTACTGTATTGTACTGTACAATCACCGTCATGCGTACACCGCCGCCACACCTCTGTCGCCATGTTTTGTGTGCCCAGCCCCGACTAAACTCCCCACATGAATACCACATTTCCGATACAAACCCTCATCAACTTCCTCCCAATGAGGCACTGAACACTAATTTGCCGGTATTAGCAGGCACTAGGTTACCACTCATAGGGCAGCCATATCGGCTAAGTCCCCCTGCTGGTACCCGCAGTGCAGTGCAGTGCTAGCAGTCCGGTCTTTGCCTACACCCAGCCTGTCGAGTAGTAAGTTTGCGTGCCGTTACGGACCAGCCAGTCTGCTTTTCCTGGTTCGTGTTTCATGCATCGTCAGGTGATGTGCCCTTTGGCTCGGCTGCTTTGCCTTCCGGCCTAGAAGCCTGGTAGCTAACCGCCGCTGTAACAACAACAACAACAGCAAACCCATGGGCGTGGAGGACGAAGAGCATGTACTCTTGAAGTGCCCGGCATATAGCACATGCAGGCAGGATTTCCTGTCGGGTATCAGGTGGGTCATACTATGGAGGATGTGGTGATGGTAGCGGTTGACGTTGGCGTTGAAGTTGGCGAATCGTAGCCACAGTGTTTGGCTAGTGCGGGTCAGAAATCGCAGGTGCGCTGCTACGGCATACCAGTCTCGGTAGCTCGACTAGTTCCGGCATATCCTTCTCTTCTTTCTCGCGTTGAGTGATAGGATATTATAAATTTCATTCTGCGTTTGTATCCTTTTCCTGGACAGGCCTAGGCTGGCTCTTGGCCTCCGGCTCGTGTGAGCCCGTTGCACCTTTGGCAACTCCAGACGGCGTAACAAACGCACACATACACACACAGAAATGGCCCATTCACAACACCCACCGTCGATGCTACCATCCAATTTTAGCAGCCGAACGAAAGACGCCTCCGGGTGGTCAGCCACGTACTGCAGGTAGCGCTCGCACGCCTCGGCCGCGGGCTCCCCGGCGCCCCCACCGCTGGCACCACCTGGCAGCTGTTGCTTGCGCAACAGACGGTCCTTGTTGATGGCGTCCAAAAAGGGTTTGAGCACATCCAGCCGCTCCTGCGTGAGTTCGATTCCCATGTCCATCGGAAAGCACGCACGTGAACAGGTGGAAGAATGAATGACAACCCTGTGATTTGAGCCCCCTCAGACACGCCTGCTTCGCGCGCCCACTTTCCATCTGGGGTAATTTTTTCACTTTGCGATACTGTGATGGGATCAAGCGGTGAGCTGGGAATAGCAGTGTCTCGCACAATTGTGCGATGCAATGTTTAAGGTAAAAGGAAAACGCCTTGACTCCGTGGGTTACGGAGGAAAGACACCGGAGACCCAGGGAAGTGAGAAGGTGGGGTAGAGAAAAAGAGGGGGCAGCCCTACAAGAAGGTCTTGCTTTCGTTACCAAATTACTGAACCAAACCACACCGCCGCCAAGCCCCGACAGCAGCAACATAATGTGCCGTACCTAGACGCACGCAGGCACAATTACAAGGAGCCTGCGCCCTCTACCAGCAAGATGCCCATGGTAGCGTGCCCTTCAATAAAAATTCCAGGCCCCTTGCGCCGTAATAGCTTTCCGTACCTTGTCGCATGGCAGGGAGCGCCAGATTTGGATGGCCGTTTGGAAGTTGATTTTTCCCCCGTCGCCGTGCTGCTTCAGGAAATCCTTAATAACCGGCAACTCCTCCTTCTGTTTGTACAGCTCCTTCATGGCGTAGCACAAGAATAGAGTGTAAGGCGTCAAAGCCACTCGCTTATCTGATTTTCCGCCATCCGCCTTCTTACGCGGCCGCAGCTTCGCCATCCCAGGGAGTAAATCCGCTTCGGAAAGGTTCATGCGCTTGCCAATAGCCACGGCAACGCGTTCTGCATTCTCCGGGCCAAATATCGTGCCTGCAACGCCCAGAAGGCACTGGGCTGCCTCCAATTTTGTCATTGGTCCGTTCAATGCAGCCGCCTGGGCAAATGTTACGAAATGTGTAGACTCGCTTTCTTTCGCCTTCATTTTTTGTTGACTTCTCGCTCTTGCTTTTCCTCCAGTAGGCGGAGCAACGGATTCCAAGGCAATATTCCACATTTATGTGCAAATTCTTCACTCAGGGCGAAGGAATGCGGCACACAGTTCCTGTAAAGATGTGCATGTAGCACCCAAGCGCATAATGATTTGAACGTGCGGCCAGTGATTCAGTTCAAACCGTGACGAAAGTTGTACTAGCTATGCCGTATGGCAGCCGTATAAACTAAAACGGCCATCACACAGGTCAAAGGTAACAGATCTTAAATCCCAGGCAGCCTTCACATCCCACTTCGTTTTACCACAAGACGGATGGAGGCGGATACTACCGGATCAATCGATCATGCACAGCACGTCTTACTCCAAATCTCCTCTCCATATTCCCGTCCTCGTGCCCTCCTCAGCAAGGAATCTTCCATCAGGAGCATGCGTACCAAGAGCCAATAATGGGGTCATGGTCGCTTCGACTGGTGGACTACTTGGGTTCGCCTTAGCAGCATTTTAATATGGCTCTGATACCTTGTAGCTTGCAGCCGCTGCCAGGCAGCACTTCCTTGCCAACTCAACTCCTGTTCTGATTATTTGCCAGGGGACGTTGAGCCGGGCCAGCCCTGCCCGTGGCTAGCTGATTAAACATGGTTGACATGCGATCCGCAAGATTTTTTCAGGACTTTGCTCCTCGGGCTTTGCAGCCCTCCTTCCCGCCGGCGGCAACTGTCAACGGCTACTCAGGCGAGTGACACAGGGCCGACGTAGCATATCGTTCAGCCTCCCGTGCGGAAACCTAACAGCTCATCCTCGTAGCCAGATAACCGCTGGGGCCGTATGTGCTTGCACACCTGGCTGAGTATGCCGTAATGTATATAGATGCAAGGCATGGGCACGGTGTGTGCCCTGGCTATCGTGCGATGGTTCCTTACTGCTCAGCGGACCGCGTAGCTGCTTATGTCGGTTGCCTTCTGACGGGGTTCCGGCTCCAAAATCTTCCTTTTCTGCATTACTGTGTCAATCGGCATCCAAGCAGCGGGTTTTTGTAAGGGTTTTAGAAACGAGTAGAGGCAAGGGCGGGCCTTGAACGATCCACGGGTCGCGTGCATCGTGTGATCCGTCTGGTTTGCTCCGGTCCTTCCTCAGGGCTGCTGGGGGTGATTTGTTCAGTCATGTGTTGCTGGAGGCAGGCAACGGCAACCTTGCACCGCAATCCACTGGCTGTAGTGTTCGCAGACACACCACTACCTCTGCGGAACTGGGCAGGTCGCCGGTAAGGGCGGCGATACCATCGCCGAGCACTCGGTAACGCACTTTTTTGGATACACTAGGTTAAGTGGCACTACACTTTCATACCATGTAGGGGCCACGACAGCCCGCAAAACTTTCCATAGCCAGGAAAGCCAGATCCCAGGAAAATTGAAGTGCGAGCCGAAACCATGCCCATATAGTAACCAGTTCAAACCTCTGGCTGACCTGGCATGACCTGGCTTGTACTGCACCCGGTCCGCCTGGCAGGCTGGCTGACGGTAACATGGCCTCTTGAGTATCGGTGGTCTTACAAATGGCTGTCGCTGTTTCCGTCCGGCCATTGTGTATCCCTATGAGCCTCCATTTTGTTGTTGAGCCATTCGTTCATCTTGACTGATAATCGCTGTATTCACCTGGTGCGTTGGCCTGTGTGTTCCCTGCGTCTTCCCGGCGCCCCACCCACCAGTTACCGAGCAGAAACAATTTCCGAAGGTGGCCGTGCTGCGAGCATAGGCATCAACCGACATAAACACCGTATAAATCCCCGCCCGTTGCCTGTGGCTGGCCCTTTCGCTATTCTGGCTATATACCACACTCACAACCCAAACCTCCACCCGGCAAAAGGGGTCGCTACGCTCACGTGTAAATGTATTCATAATGTGTATCACGTGCTCAGACGTCAAGACTTTCGACCTTGTTACGATGTTTGGTTTGGGGACACTACAGCAATGTGTGGTTTAAGGTCTTGAGTTCAAGTTCTGTGTAGAACCTCGATAATGTTGGAAATGTGAGATTATGGCACGCTGTAGAGTTGAGATCACGGTTGATGGACAGAGATTCGCACGCTGGATTGGTGGCGACTGCTGAACCCTCTTTCCGTACTGGTGTTCGGGTGACATGTTGTGCAGGGTTTCAAGGAGGCAGAACCAACCGCCTTGGACCTGCAATCTGTACGGGGTAGTACAGTGTGGTAATGGTAGATGCTGCTGTATGGTGTTCAATCCTAGATAGGCAACCCGATTGTGTGCAAATGGCCCAGAAGCCGCTTATTCGCTAACGACAATAACAATGTCATCGTCGTTACTGCGGTGATTTTCCTTGCGCACATACATATACACTATATATACGTACACATTCACAACAATCAACACAAAGCCGACGGCCCTCCAACCGAATGGGATAAAAAAGAAAGAAAACGTATTTGGAGGCCTGTCAATGCTTAACCTCACGTACCCTGTGCACCAACACTTCCAGGGCAACTCTCCACCACCGAGAAAGGAGCGGAGAAGCCCAATGCTCTCCACAGACACATCTGTGGAATCTCCCACCACTAGTTGGCTTCTAGAGGGATTTCCTCAGCAAGTCTCTCGTCCTTCACGTCGTCACGTTCCGCTCCGCATCCCCCTGCCGGCTTAGGTTCAGAACCGCGCGTCCCAACATCCATTGCCGTACAGAAGATACCACACACAAGCCATTGGGCTTCCTGCGCCGTCGGTCGTTAATCGAGTTTTCCGTTTGGTGTTCAGTCCAAATCATACAAAGCAACACCCGCATACAGATATATGGTCGTCGGATGATGTGGTTGGACGCAGGCTGAGCACCTTTCGATGCGACGCGCCGTTGTTGACAACCATAATAACAAGCAGCACAACATTTCAGTTTACGGCTGACAGGGTACGTAAAGGTGGCCAAGTGCGTAGCGTATCTTAGGGTTTAGAGGAAGTGATGCGCGGCAATGAAAAGCCAGGGCGTGGGAAATCGCGATAGAAGATGCGCATTTATAGGCATATGAGGGCCAAAGTAAAAATGCGATAGAAAATAGGTAATTCCGCAACCGCAATAAAGGCTATCTGTCGTCCTGCCAGCCAGCCAGCCAGCCTGGCGTTCTCCTCACGCCGCACGTATTAACACTTCGTGCGAATCCATACACGTGATATGATCACGTGATCCACGGATGGCATACAAATGTACGGTACGGGAGATATTTGCGCGGCGAAATGTCACACAAAGACACAAGACGTGCATATGGATGTTTCCCTAAATAGACACGCACACGCACACCCACCCACACGTATATGTACCGCTTACATCAAGCCCTGGTGAACGTAAGACCGCAACAGCAATAAACATCATAATGCGCAACCAGCGCGGCTGGTCAGGACAAACGCCGTGTGCTGGACTTGTTCTTGCGGGTTGGTCGTTTTGGGGTAATATACCGCAGATTAGGATAACCTCAATAGGCCGGCGTGAATATGTATATGAGCCATTTACGTGTGTCTGCGCGCGCGTGTGTGTATTACCCGTGGCGGGGGTGCGAGAACCCCCTCCCTCCACGAGCGCACACACACACAGGCACCCACACCCACACAAATACGCATTCGCGCGCGTACACCGGCATATGTGCAGCAAATTCGTATCCAAACTCCAAAGAGCCCCTCGCCCACCCGCTCGCAATGCTCTGTGCACGCACACGCACATACGAATTTATATACACACGCACACGTCGCGAACGCGAGCACCTCCTGTGTACTCGCCGCCACCACCACCATCGCCACCGTCATGTGATGCGCTCTTGCCCATTTTGGAGACATGCTCTGCTGCCGTGCTTCAGTCATCTCCGACATCCTTCCGACCTGACCAGGGAGGCGACGAAGCGGAACTTTTCAATCACAATCACATTTAAGCCCCTCATGACACCTGCCGGCTAGTATGGGGGTTTGTCCGCCCTTGCCCCTGTGGGGTATCGACGTGACGTGAGCACACCACCACCAGTAACCCACCCCGCCAGGACGCACAGCGCGCCACAGGAAGCATATAAGCACCGTATCTATCTGCCCCGCACTGTCTGCCCTTCGCCTTCGACCCCCGGCCGGGGTGCCACTACCACATCCGGGCCACAAACCCACTTCTGCCTCTATGCAGCTGCAGAGCCATATCCACAGGCTTGGCGTCACAGAGAACGCAAAAGGGCGCGCCCCGCAAGCATATGCGCATACACGCGAGTTGCGAAATAATTTGAGGATTCACATGATGGAATATAAAGCGCACATGAACCGCATCAAAATGCACAAATAAAGTTTCTGTTGTAAGAGAAAACATCACTGACACGCCACGTCACGTCACACGCCCAAGTAGCGGTGCATCTCCTCGAACACAGTACGCGTCCGTTGTGCGCCAAGGCACGGTTCAGGGATTCGGGTTTTCATACCCCCTCGTTACGCCGGCCCAGGTTGATCTCCCACAACGATAACGGCAACGATGGCGATGATCATGGCGACAATGGCGACAGTGAGACGGAAGGCTAAGGACCCACTATAGCCCAGGGACGGTGTTGAATAGCAAGCCCTTTGGCCTTGGCCAGGACCAGGACCAGGACCAGGACCACTTCCAGCGGGCTCTTGATCCCTAAGCACATTATTATAGGAGAGATGGCACGCCGGAGCCGCTCTTGGCCACATCCTTGGGCCGCTTCCCGTTCTGCAGGGAGATGGGAGAGGTGGGAGGTGTTTAGATATGGAGGGAAAATCAAGGAGGTTGCCACGCAGGTCGCGCATAAACAAACTGGGGTTGATGTTCGGGAGCAGGGGACGCGAGTCCAACCTCGTCCTGACTCCCAGCAAACGCTCCCCACCCTCTCACTCTCACACTCCCTTCTGATTGTCAAATTTAGGCAAGCCCTGTCAACCCCCTACATGCATACATGTACGATATATGCACCCGTGGATTCCACCCCCGGCCTCGTACGTTATCCGCCTTGTTCTTGTCTGCCCCCACTGAGAGCAGGTACTTGACCGCCTCCACATGGCCCTTCTCCGCAGCCAGGTACAACGGGGTAGCGCCGTCCTGAGGGGAGGGAGGGAAGGTGGGGAGGAGAGGGAGGGAAGGTGGGGAGGAGAGGGAGGGGGAGGAGAGGGAGGGAGGGTTGGAGAGGAGGGTGGAGAGGGGTAAAGGGAAGGGCGAAGCTTTAAAGCAAGACTCGGAGTTGTTTTTTTCCCTAGACGTCAGCACGCACAGGGGCACAAGCACAAGACATACTTCTATACATACACACGTACACACAGACACACACAGACAGCTCCACCGGGGGCTAGTAACTCTGCTTTCCACTGGCCTGCGGCCCCCTAGCTAGCCGCATAGTTAGCTGGCTATGGTACACCATTCCCCCTTGGGTACGATAATTTAATGTGATTTGATGTTTTACAATGATTAGCCGGGTCCTGTCGGGGCAGGTATGTAAGCAGACAAACAGATACACAGAGAGACGGCCTCTCACCTCCAGCGTCAGGTCCTTGTCAACGCCCGCCTCCACCAGCATCTTGATCACATCCACATGCCCCGCAAGGCAGGCGCTGTGGATGGGCGTGTAGCCACCCTGGCGATGGGAAAGGGGGAGAGGGGAGGGAGAGGGGAGGAAAGACGAACCACACAGGGGAGGGAGAGGTGGGGGGTTGAGCACGTATTCATACCACCTGTACCTACAGCGCTGTTGCTGTAAGCCGTATTCGTGTCCTAACGCGGCGAACGGGGTTTTGCGGTCCTCTGTCTCTCTCTCTGTCTCTCTCTCTGTCTCTCTCTCTGTCTCTCTCTCTCTCTCTCTCTCTCTGTCTCTCTGTCTCTCTCTCTCTCTCACTCTGTCTCTCTCTCTCTGTCTCTGTCTCTCTCTCTCTGTCTCTCTCTCTCTGTCTCTGTCTGCCTGTCTATCTGATGACTGATGGCGGCCCTTCACCTGACATACATACTGACGTAGTGCTACACAGACAGAGGTGAAACCCCCAACCGCCAGCAGGATTCACTGGGTGAACAAGAGGTAAACGCGATAGGGGGCCGTTCTATTCATTGTACTTGTACTGCAAGACATGCATGAGAAGCATGCGCGCGCGTGTTCAAGTTGTAAGGAAATGAGCCGATCCAGTCAGACTGGTTGCAAATATTTACATGCGCCGTATGCGCGCGTGGTCGTACTACTCACCTTGAGCTTGACGACCTTGTTTGCGCCCTTCTCAATGAGCAGCTTGACAGCCTCCACCCGGTTGTTTTGGGACGCCACGTAAATTGGTGTCGCGCCGCTCTGCGTCGTCATCATCGCAAGGAACGTGGATGACCCGAGGGTCGGTCGGTTTGCCGAGGAGACGTGTTTGTGCCTATCGCGTCAGCGCTAGTCTGCTGCTGACTTACCCACGGATCGACTTGCTAGCGGTGCTAGCTGAACGTCGGTCAGTCTTTAAGGAAAGGAGCTAGTGCGGCTCAGTTGAGAGTCTGTCCAATGTCTCAGCTACGTAAGGCTGATGTGCGAAACACGGCGCACACCTGGCATCATCCTTCGCCCACCCACAGTCCCTCCCAACCATCACCGCCGCAAACGACCCCACCCAACTTCCCCCCAACTTCCCCCTCCCCGCCGGTGCGGTTACTTCTCGTCAATACCGCAAAACCCTGATAACCCCACCCACCACCCACCCACCACCCACCAAGAGCACTGCAGTCCCACCCACCCGCCTGGTTCCCTTCCCCCTCCGCCACGTCGTTTCCCCCACCACCACACCGCCTCCTCCTCTCACACCCTCACGTCCTGCCCCACCTGGAAGGTGGATTCTATGAGCGCCCCCGCATCCAACAGCAGCTTCATCACCCCCACATGACCGCGTTCCGAGGAAATGTACAGCGGAGTGGCCTTATCCTGCAGGTGGGGAGGGGTGGCAAGTGGGAGGGCATATGGGCGGTATATGCCAAAAGGGGGGGGTCTGAACTCATCAAAAACGGGCAGTTTGACTCTACTTGATCCCACAGCGGTAAAATATAAGCGGCCCCCGCCCTCTGTGGGTGTGTGCAGCGAGTATATGTGTTGGGTGCCTGGCGCACATACATACGCACATACGCACACATACGTACGTACGTACTCACATCATGGCTCACATGTGCATGTATAAGGCTTTGCCGGTTTTTCACAAATGTGCACTCGAAGCAGGTCAAAGCTTCAGGGAACACGACGAGAAGGTGCAACTGGACACACGTGTGCACATCATCAACTGTTCGAAAAACGGCCATCTCTTACTCGGCTCAGTTTGTTGAACTATACTATACTGGGGGGAAGAGGCGAATATTACTACTGAAATGATAAGACACATAAAGTGGGGGGTGGGGGCTGTATGCCACCGGTGCTTGTATCCACAACCGCGGCCTCTAGCCCGCGGCAAGACAAAAATTGACAAACAGACAGACAGACAGACAAACAAACCTTGCGTGATGCGTTCTTGTTGGCGCCCGCCTTGATCAGCGCGTCCACGCACTCAGCAAAGTTGTTTTGCGAGGCGATGTACAGAGGCGTGGCGCCGCTCTGCAAAGACACGCAGCCACAGGCCAGACAGGAACAGCGATACAACCACAACATATGATGAGCGACAGACATTATTGAAGCCATAGCTGGCATCAATAGCAAGTGGCAAGAGCAGCAACAGTACCAGAGCCGTGGGGACCGCAGGTGGTGTACAGAAGGGCACACGTGTAAATAAATAAATAAATATGTATGTATGTATATATGTCACACACGTGTCCACCGGAGCCCGCCAGGGAGCGAGAACAGCTCCCCCGAGAGGTGCGGGGGAGTGGGTATAAGTATTAATGAGAAGCTGCGCGCGGGAGTCGCGCGTGAGATGATGTCCACTACACACCCACCACCACCAGCACCACCTAGACTCACACCTACTGATATGCGACCCCTGAGGAGCAGCTCAAGCTCTAGGACACAGTCCTGGGGCCCTGGGGCGCATCAGCACCACTTACACACGCCAATAAACCACGTACAGATAACACACATACACATACACACACATACACACACATATACACATAAATAAGCCTTCACATCTCGCGGCTCTCAGTCCATTGAAACACGTACCTCCATTCCCAGTTCTGTGTTCGCCTTGGCAGCCAACAACATATGTAAGCAGTCCGCGAAGCCCTTCTCCGCGGCCAGGTACAGTGGGGTAGCGCCATCCTGCATCGCGGGGTGGGGGGGAACGGGAGGGGGCCAGGTAGTTGTTGGATAGGGTGGGGTCAAAGAGGTTGGGTTGGGTTTGCGGTCGAGTTGGGTTGGTGGGTTTGGCTGGCGGAGTTGAGGCCCCGGTTCGCGGAGGACTTTAGTATTAGACCCAGAGGCTCGATCTCAGCAGGGTTCGATCTGTGTATCACACACATTCAGGGACCAGCATAGTATACCGCCTCATAGTACAGCACCGCACCCAAGTTTGAACAGGTTTCCGTAAAGCTGTTGCGGCGTCACACGGCGATGTGCCACTACCGCAAAATTAAAACGATGCTGCTACTGCCCTTGTGATGACTGCTACTGCCCTTGTGATGACTGCTACTGCCCTTGTGATGACTGCTACTGCCCTTGTGATGACTGCTACTGCCCTTGTGATGACTGCTACTGCCCTTGTGATGACTGCTACTGCCCTTGTGATGACTGCTACTGCTCTTGTGATGACTGCTACTGCTCTTGTGATGACTGCTACTGCCCTTGTGATGACTGCTACTGCCCTTGTGATGACTGCTACTGCCCTTGTGATGACTGCTACTGCCCTTGTGATGACTGCTACTGCCCTTGTGATGACTGCTACTGCCCTTGTGATGACTGCTACTGCCCTTGTGATGACTGCTACTGCCCTTGTGATGACTGCTACTGCTCTTGTGATGACTGCTACTGCTCTTGTGATGACTGCTACTGCTCTTGTGATGACTGCTACTGCTCTTGTGATGACTGCTACTGCTCTTGTGATGACTGCTACTGCCCTTGTGATGACTGCTACTGCCCGTGTTGACGATGATGGTGCTCTGCACGGCGTGTCGACAAACTCCGGCAGGCCGCGAAGCCCAGATGACGGAGGCCACACTGCCTCACCCTCGTCACCCCACATGCAAGCAAAGTGCACCCTCATTCGGGGCCATTCATCCCCAGCCCCACAGCCCAGCAGACCTAGCCCAGCAGGCACAGCGCGATACCTTGAGACCCAGGTTCTTGTCGGCGCCCGCGTCCAGCAGCGCTTTGACGCACTCAGTGTGGTGGTTCAGGACGGCGATACACAACGGCGTGTGGCCGTCCTTCTGCGGATCGCCATCATAATGTTGTCGTCATCATCACCGTGAATGACCGCCATCACACCATGATTGCCATCACAACGAATAGTACAAGGGGCAGATGAAAGGAGGGTTGGGAAAACGGGGTTATGGTGGCTCCGGAACCAAATCGTGTGATTCGGGGCTGACGAGTAACGAGGTGCAGCGTGTTTGCATCACAGCCGGACAGTCCGGCGTTGCAGAGCCTGGACAGAAGGCGATGGAGAGAAGAGGAAAAGGAGGAGTCGCGACGCGGTCAGACGCGGTGAGAGCTCCCGGGGTGGACAGCTCCTGTCGGCAACCAGCCAGACACAGCCAGCCATGTTGGATACCTAAAAGAGACACACCCCTCCTGCTTCTACTCCTATCCATTTCTTTCCCCAATCCATCCATATACCTTACACCCCCACAAACCAAGGACTGCTTGATACATTCTCCCTCGTTAGAGATCCGAGCCTCTCGTCATCATATCCCACAGATCTCCCCCTCTCCCCATGATGGGCCGCCTCCCCTATTCCAAGCAACCAACGGACCTTGAGTTTCACATTCTTGTTGGCGCCTGCCTCCAGCAGCAGCTTCAACGGTTCCACCTTGCCCTTCTCCGACGCCACGTACAAGGGTGTGGCGCCGTCCTGCGTGAGAGAGAGAGAGAGAGAGAGAGAGACGCGACCCAACAGGGGGGTGTAAGGTACATAAATAGAGGTGGTTATGATGCTGATGGTGCTGATGGTACGGGCGGTGATGATAGCCAGGCGTGCCGACTCTCTACCCTCCCCTCCCCCAGCTACCTACAAGCAGCACCTCGCACGTCCTGTATGAATGGAAACCTAAAGAACGTCCGCCCCAACAGTCATGTAGTTATGCGTGCCTTATCCTACGCCCCCGTCCGCCCACCCTGCCAGCCACCCCGCCCGCCCGCCCTCCGTGTGTATTGCATATATGTGCTGTGCCTAATCTCTCCCCCACCTCCACACACACAACACACATGATGTGTACACACAGGCTAAGTTTTGAGATTCTGTGATGCCTTGCTGCCTTTAGGTGCCCGCGTTGTCTGTACTCAGTTCTCGCCGCCCTTGGCCACTACAGCGCCTCCGCCTCTTAGTTCTACTGGCTCCGGCACCATTCTTCTAACCAACATCACTTAAAACTTCCAAACTATGTATGATGTGTGGGTCAGGGGGTTATATCTTCACCCTGCGGCCGCTACCTGGCAGACCCTGCCTTCCCCGGTATTTCAGGGCACCCTCATCCAGTCACCCTAGCCCACTTCTTAGTGGATCGCTCAGGTTCAGTACCCACCAACAGCACCCAACGGAATCTGCCGGGCCGACAGCGGCCCAACTCCGTTCCTGGTCAGCTCGTATGTCAACTTTATCCCAGGTCACCACCGTCCATGGACTAGGTGCACTTTTACCTTCCACCATCGGAAGGATCTTTCCACCCTGACAAGTCTCGACCCCGGAACCTCCGGGGACATCAGTGTGTGCTTTATCAGTCGTGCCTGACTTATGTATACATCCGTACTTCACTGGTGAAATCCCACCACGTCGCGCTGTTGACTACGGAACTCGCTTCGATACCAAGTTAATTATTTCGATATCAAGTTATTTGTGCACCGCCACCACCCTTGCCACCGTCATCGCGGCTCCGAAACTCAATGCAACACACGGAGGGACTTACACTGAAAGCCGCCTCCAGGTTGGCCCCCTTCTCAATGAGCATCTTGACAACATCGGTGTGGCCATTCATGGCGGCTGTGTGCAGCGGTGCACACCCGCTCTGCAGCGTATAGAGCAAGACAAGGTACGCGGGGTGGGTGAGCGGTTGGGCAGGTTGTCTAAGGGAGTCATGCCGGGGCACTGGCGGCTCATTGCTATCCACTGCTCTCAGCACCCGTCCACATCGTCCCCCAAACGACATTCCCGCTGCCGCCGAGGAAAAAAAACTCGGCCGCCTCCACCGCTGCCGGTCTTTACATGTCTTGCATCTGAAAATTTCACCCGCTCCACGCCTGGCCCCTGCTACTCCTCCCTTCCAGGATAGGGCCGCCCACCCACCCCACCCAACCATTGATCCGTGATCCGTGAGACAACGTACCCCACGGGGCCCCGGCCCCAGCCACGCGCACCGTCTTTGCTCCGTTGATGGGCGCCCCGCAAGCCAGCAGCAACTTGGCCACCTCCAAATGGCCCTTCTGGCAAGCCAGGAACAGTGCTGTCATGTTGTCCTGGAGGAAAGGTAAAGGAGGGGAGGGGCGGGGCGGGGAGGTAAAGGAGGAGATAAGGAAGAGTTATGGCGGGTTGGCGGTGTGTGGGAGCGGAGAAGAGGGAAGACGGTCAGACGGGCAAACCGCGGACGGTCGGACAAACCGCGAGGATCTACAGCGCATGGCGATGGCAGTGGCGGAGAAGATTCGAGGTGGGCCGGAGGCCCACCTCTTGACCTACATCACCTCACCAACCAAATATGGACAGGAGCGAGCCCTGCGAGCCCATCCAAGCCCCATCCATCTCCCCCTGTTGGGGCCCCCCCTCTCTCTCTCTCTCTCAATCTCTCTCTCTTTTCCAGACGGCGCATGTAATGCGTATACCGCAGCTGATGCACGCCAACTCGCAGTTGTTGCTTATAGACTGCTGTGTGCTGACCCCTCCAGTTCCTCACCCCTGCCCCTGCCCCCATCGCCAACCAGTAATCCCGCACGACCAGGAGCCCCGGAGTAGAACCCCGGACGTGGAAACATCGCCCCGCTTCCATCCCCACCACCGCCGGAGCCCCCGACACACTTCCTTCACACTTCCTTCTCGCGGATCAATTGCTTTAAACACAGACACACACAGACAGACAGAGTGACCCCACCCTTCTCTCCATCCGCGATTCTCTAATGGGCCTCGTCAGCGACCTTCTTTCACAGCAACCTCGCCCTGTGTCCCTGCCCTGTCCTGGTGCTTTACACCGCTCCAGGGGCAGGCCAGCCTCACCATCCTCGCACCGCATCTCACCCCCCCCCCCCGAGTTGGAGAACCCTACGTAACCACCCCCATAGCGGCCCCTTCCCTCCCTCGCTCCCGCCCTCGCTCCGGGGACCACGGGTCGCCACGAAACACGCACACGACACGCGCACGCACGCTCCCCTCACATCCTTCTCCTTCGCCATCTGCGTATTGGCACCCTGGTCGATCAGCTCCTGCGCCAGCGCCGTGTCGCCCACCTCCGCCGCCTTGAACAACCGCTCATCCATCTCCTCCACGGGCAACAACTTCTCCAACCCCAGCTTCTTTGCGAGGCCCAACAGGTGCCGCCGGTTCGCACCCGCCACACGTGCCAAGTCCTGAAGCGCCTCCAGCAGCGCGCTCGGCGACAACTGATCCAACTGCTTCCAACAGAAATAACTGTAAACCGCCCACACGCGATCGCCCTCATTCCACGCCTGGTACACGCCAGTGTGCGCCTCTTCCAAGTACGACAGCAACCACGGTTTGGTAGGGGCCTCGTCCAAAATGGACTGCGACTTCCACATATTGACAGCCATCTCGAACAGCTGCGCCACCATGTCGTCGAGACCTTCCGCGACCAGCATGCTGCCGGTCTTGACGGCCGCCGCCAAAGGGTCGAGAATCTTATCCAGAAGATCGCCGGCGTCTTTGCCTAGAATTTTCTTATAGATCTGCGACGCGGTCTTGTCTTCCGTACTTTTAAGCATGGCATCTACAACCATGCCTAGCCAGGCCTCCAGGGATAGCCAGTTACAAAGCTGCTCGGACCGGCCGTGACGCGCCATGCGCTCCGCCAGCGTCCACACACGGCTAAAGTACTCTCGACCCGCGACCTGTTCTCTGGCAAGAATGGAGTTGATAACATCGGCCGCCACGGCGCAGTTCGGCGCTTTGCTGCCGCGTCGTTTTAGTGACCGCGCGGCCTTGACCAGGAGCAGCCGCACGACGCCCTCCGGCGGAATGGGGTGGAAGGTGGGGATGATAATCATGGCACGCGCGCGCATGTAAAACACCTTGGAGCGCATGATTTCGACCATAGGAGAGCTGCTGTACTGTGGAACACAGCACCAATCGACCCACACGTATTGGATGCCATTGTCACGCAGCCTCGTGAGCACCTCACACAGCTCTCCGAACTGGCGCTGCAGCATGGGCGAGTATCCGTGTTGCTGCTTGGTAGGTTTGGAGGCTCCCCAACGCCAGGACAGCACGGCTGTTTGGTCCCAAATCGCATCATCGACTTCATAATACGGCAGGCTGAGACAGGCGGACGGTGGCACTTCCTCGTAGACCTTGAGGTTCGTCCATGCCAGTACGTTGTTTATTTTTAACAGTCGCATCGGCGCCTGCTTGAGTAAAGCTGGCATGCCGTAGTGCAGGTCGGCAACACAATCGGGAAGGTCATCGAGGGGACGGTTCTCTTGGAGGCACGCGAGGACATTCTGCGTGTGTGTTTTGGGTAAGAGGGGTGGGAAATCAAGGGAGGGCCAAGGGGTTTAAAAGGGGCGGGGGAAGCAGGCAAGGGAGGCGAAGAAAGGAAGATGGGATGTGGGCAGCGACAGTGAAAGGAAACCGGGAGATTTGGAGCACGTTTGGTAGCTGGCTTGGCTGTCGTAAGTGTTAGGAGGCATACACGTGGTCGTGAGTCGTGAGCAGCCAGAGTTGGACGGAAGGGTGGTGTGTGGATGTGACAGGGGGGACTGAAAGGAGAGTCCTGCAAGAAGTTGGCCGGGTTGCCCAGGCAAGGGAACGAAGAGCCAGGTATGGCATGGCAACACTGTTGCCGATCCTTGACACCGTAGCTTCGCAAGCACAGAGCTGCACCGTCGAAGAGCGGCGGAATGAGGGCACGGTTTCCCTAACGACGGCAAACTTTCCCGGCATACACGAACATCTGCAGCTCAGACCAGGAAGTCCTATACCGTTATGCATGCGGCGGTTTCCTTTAGATTACGAAACGTGGGACACATCGCGTCACGCAGGGCATCAGCTCAAGGACGGTGAAGCAACAAAACGACGTCGACCAACATTACTAGCTGCTTTTGTTGCAATAATGTATGTGCACGCATGCTAACGAGCCAGGCCACGTGCGACCGCCTACCTCATTCCTTGGAGGAAGGGGCATAGGCGTCAGCCTCGCCTGGCTTGCATTTGAGTCCTGCACGAGTGAACGTATGAAAACGATTGAATCTTATGGGATTTTCGATAGGAGGAGAGATAACCTCCGAGGCTGTGCCAACCCAACCCACAGCTAAGCCAGCCAAAGTAAGTATGAAGTACTTACAACGGATGCACCACACCCCATTCTGTCACTTCACAAGGGACGCTTGGCCAGCAGCCAGTTCCTTCAACGTGACCTTAGAACCATGTCGAGTTGTAACCGTATATTGACCATGAACAGCACAGTTGAAACAGCGTGACGATTACAGTATATTTCAGAAGGATGGAGGGTTACTTGGTAGCGCCGCCCCGCGTGGAGGGCTCTTCGAAGGTCTCAAGCTCGGCTTTGTAATTTTAACGATTGGATACACCGGTGATGCTAAGCTCGAGTAAATCCTTATAGACCTATTCCCAAGAACATTAGTGCCAATCCGGTGAGACTCCGTAAGCGCAATGCATCAAAAAGATTGTACGGCCTTTAATCGTCCAAAATCGCCAAAAACATGCAGCACTTTGTTTCGTCCTGATTCCAATGAAATGACCCCATCAAATTTAGTTGTCGCGGGGTCGCTTTACCTTGATCGTCCCTCCACCTGACCTGATGACGGATCGTGAATTTGCCATTCATACATCGACAGCCCCATTATCGCGATGAAAGATAGGCAAAAAATTATGCAGCTTGCCCGCCTGTTATTAAGAAACCGCCATAGCGCGGTGAAAGCAGAGTGCGAAAGAAGTTGTACAGCGCCATGACCAAACACTGAAAATCTCCAGCAGAACGCGGAGGACAACAGAACGCCAACACATATGCATCTCCAGTAGCGGGGCCAAACAACTAGCATGTTACAGTGCTTCTGCCTGCCCAAAGACTCTTTTGGCTTTTACCTGGCTTTTACCAGGTTGCATGTGCAGCCCTGGATCTCCCGTGGGATCCCCCCCAGGGGATATCTCCCCTGGACACCATCATACGGGGACTTACCGGGGCTTGCGGCAAGCATCTTCGGAGCTATGAAAGGTTCAACTGCCGTCCGACTGGCTCCAACTGACTCAAAGCACCTGTGCAGCCCTGGATCTCCCGTGGGATCCCCCCAGGGGATATCTCCCCTGGACACCATCATACGGGGACTTACCGGGGCTTGCGGCAAGCATCTTCGGAGCTATGAAAGGTTCAACTGCCGTCCGACTGGCTCCAACTGACTCAAAGCACGTGCATGCGTCAGCTTGCTGGATGCCCCTTGCCTGTTACGCGCCCGTCCCGGGCATCCATCTCATTTGCCGTGCACAGCTAGCACACCAACCCGATGCCTGATTTATCTCCTCCTCCCAGGACTCCCGGCGGACTCGTAGACATCCACCTGACTGGCAACTGAGGCATGGCTACTGGTGGTGGTAGTGGTGGTGTCGCTTCCATTGCCTCTCCTTGCGTTCCTCAAATGACTCCCGGAGGTCCTTACCATCCTCCCAGGGCGCGCTCTGGACATCAGAAACAGGATGCCGAAAATCGCCTCATACGCACGTTTGAAGAGGCAACCCATGCATCTCGTTGTCCGTTACCGCCTTCCCAACCCCATCATTCACCACGTACTGCAAATATTACCCTGAGGAGCTATGACACGCACAGCGATGGGATATCCGTACGGCTGAACAGCCGAAAGGCAACGGCGGGGAAGAGGAGGGAGGGGTATACGCCTCTCCCTTAATTTGCGTGGGTTAGATACCGTAGGTATGGCCGTACGATGCCACACAGCTATGTCGTCTACGTGGAATTTGGTGCGCATGGTTGGTGTACAAGGCCTTACTGAGGCGCAACACTTTCATTGTACGAATCTGTTTCGTACTATCGTGGTACGGGGCATATTAGGGCTTACGCCGAGGCATCCCCTGCCGGCATCGTGTCAGTCGGGGGCGACTGCCATAACGCGTATATCGCAACTTATCGACCGCCTACCCCCGCAATGGACCATAGCGGCGATAGTAGCTATTAATGACAGAAACCATGAAATACCGCCTCCGCAAGAGGCCTGGAAAAGAATTGTCAAAAGCTTGGGATGGAGATTTGGTCAAGTGTAGAGGGTAGGACAAACTGTCGGGCAGAGCAATTCTTTTGACTGCCCCGGTCGCACAATTCCCGTGCTTCCCTAATTCGACACCCTGAACACGCTAATTCTGACTGTCCGAATGTCCCTGCCAGGCCAATTCGACACCCTGTCAGCCTAATTCTGACTGTCGGAATGTCCCGCCAGGCTAATTCGTATCCCTGTCAGGCTAATTCTGACTGTCGGAATGTCCCTGCCAGGCCAATTCTTATCCCTGTCAGGCCAATTCAAGGGCCTGTCCCGGCAATTCAACTTGTCCCAGGTGTCAATTTAAACCCTTCTACCGAGCAATCTAGACCAATTGCAGGGTCTGCCCCCAAACTCTCAGGCACGCATTCAGAATCGCGGAAGTTGAAGGAACTTT